TTGCCTCAGGAATTAAATAAAACTGGTGAGATTCTCCTGAGACCCCCCCCCAAAAAAAAAAAATGTTAAGGAGGCAGACAACTTTATGAACAGGAAAGGCCAAAGCAGGATTTTAAGTTACTCTCCATCAAAGGCTTCTTTGAGGCAGATTTCCCGGAATTCTGATTTGGTGATCCTGTTAAGTCTTGCACAGCAGCTTGAAATATCTTTGAAAACCAAGAGTTTTAAATGTGGCATGATATTGGTTAAGTTTTTCTGCACTAGTGATTAGATTCTTGAGTCCTAACCAACTGTATGAAAAGAAAAAGGTAATTTAAAAATGGAAACTATTAATTGAAAACTGAATAGAACTTAACAACAGCTCAAACTTAGCTGTAGAAAGCTCCACAGAAGTATAAGCACTATTAAGGAATGTCCTAGTTTGAAAATGTTCTTTATCATTTAGTAAAAGCTAATGAAGATGAGCATAATTTAAAATCTCAGTCCATTTATATGTTCCTAGCCTGTATAGATACAAACAAAATAAACATTGTCAAGAATTCTATAACTGTTTATTCATTGAGTGCTGCAACTGAAGCAGGGAGGGAGGTGGTGGACAGTGATGACTAAGATGGGTTCCTGCCTTCGCCAAGCTGCATTGGGATAGCATTTAATTTTGGTAATTGAGAAAGTTAAAGCATTCTTACAGCGTTTACCATTTTGATGGGTTGTTTAGTAAGTAAAAACAAGTCTCAAGCCCGGCATGGTGGCACGTGCCTTTCCCAGCACTCCAGAGGCAGGCGGATCTCTGTGAGTTCAAGGCCATCCTGGTCTATGTACTGAGCTCCAGGCCAGCTGAGGCTGCAGGGAGACCCTTTCTCAAAAAGACCAAACCAAACAAAGTCTCCCTTTGTCACTAAGCTAGTGCTTTCTTAACACCTCTCTTCAGAGGCTGTAGGACTGAATAGGTATGGAACATTTTGCTATTTGAATTTTTCAGAAACTCAATGAAGCAGGGTGTGGTGGCACACACCAATAATCTCAGCACTTAAGAGGTGAAGGCAGGAGGATTAGGAGTTTATATTCTTCACTTAATACCAAGTTCCAGGCCAGCCCTGGAACCTGAGGCCCTGTCTCAAGCAAACAAAAGTATTGATGTAGTTAAATATCTTTTAATTATTTTTTTGAGACAGTCTCCAGCTGGCCTGGAACTTGCTATGTAGACTAGTCTGGCCTTGATCTCACAAAGATCCACCTACCTCTGCCTCCTGACTGCTGGCATTAAAGACACCACCACACTACATTAAATAGCTTTTAATTTTAATCAACACTTCATTGGCCTAGGAAGATTCAGATAGGAGGAGGGGAGGACCAGTATTGTTTCTGGATACTTGGTCATGTCCACACCAGTGCAGTCTGAACCCTATGGCTTTGAAGAGTGAATTTAATCTAACTATAACTTTATCAGTTTTCAGTGTTGGATATACACAATCAGCTTACTAAGTGGAAGGCTAATCATTACTTGGGAGGCAGAAGCAGACAGATCTCTGTAAGATAGAGACCTACTGGTCTATGTAGTGAATTCCAGGCCAGCTGGTGCTACAGGGATACTCCATCTCAAAAAGACACACAAAAAGGCCCAAAGTCGTCTCATACAATGTGAATGAGTCAGGGTTTCTGTAGGGTTCTCAGGTTGGGCTGCCAACACTTTGATTTCCCCTTCCACTTGGTTCCCTCAAACAGGTCTTTAGATGGGAAGATACTAAAAAGAGGAAGCAGACTGCTCAGACTATTCTGCAGTTGGTTTCAGCATATCTTAGAGATGTCTTCAAATTAGCTGGTGAGATGGCTCAGTGGGTAAAGGCACTAGCTGTCAAGCCTGATGACCTGGGTTCCGCTCCTGGAACCCACATGGAGGAAACAGTATTCCCACAAATTGTCCTCTGACCTCTACACATGACCCCCTCCCCCCAAAAGGATTCCCTAAATAATCACTGAAATCTTACTCTTTCCAAAAGCTGTATAGGATTTCTTATATATGCTATCATTTTTTTTTTTTTTTGGTCT